TCAGAGATCTTGAACTGATATTCAATCCATTGGGAATGTCCTTGTGCTGATAATTTAAAAAGAGGAGAAATTGGAGAAATAGGTGTTTAAAATCTATATAAAAAGACGAACCATAATGCCTTTGAAAGCAGCCATCATGGTATAGAAGAAGGGAGAATTGGGTTGAGGCTGGGAAAATACACATTCTGACTCTAAAGATGTGAGCTACCCTTTTCAGAGCCCTGGCTCGGGGCCAAGTCCTGCACTAGGTACCTTGTCAGTCAGTCCCATAATGCACCGAGGAGCTTCAGCCACATGATTCCATCTCTGCTTTCCTTGACCTTACTGGAAGTAAGGACCCTGAGTCTGGGAGTTTGGTAGGAACGAAGCATTCCCAGAGAGTGGTGGGCCCATAAAAGAATCCAGTCACCGCTTTGAAACAGGACATTCCTTTGGCTTCCTGAGCAATCAACTCTGGGATCTCAGGCCCTGACCCCAGAACCCCCCTCCGACTCCCCTCAGCAGGACCACCTGGAAAGCTCACTGCAGCTGCACCAGCCTAGGCTGGGGAATGCTCTGGGCTGCCTTGGCTGAGGTCAGCGCATTTCCATCCCTGGCATCTCTGGCAGACAGTGACATCATCGAATGTCTTCAAATTGTCACTTATGGTGTGTTGTTGGAGGGGCAGTTCCTGGGAAAGAGATTGTCAAGGGTACAGGCTCAGGAGGTGTGATGTCGGGTGTGTGAAAGTAAAGCATTTCCTCTGTGGGTTAAGGTGCTGCTTAAACAGGGACACCAGTATGTGACCTCTGAGCACCCGGGGCCCAGGACATGGCACATACTTCCGCCTCCTTAGGTTCCAAGTAGGAAAGGACAATCCCCAGCACAGGGGCCTGTAGAGACCCTGCTGGCCCACCCCCAACCCCTGCCTTCTGCCCCAGCCAACGAAGCATGTGGATTCCACAGAGAGAACCGAGGACAAAGCAGAGAGCAACCAGAGCTGGCATCCAATTTTCCTGAGCAAGGTAGAGTCTTCCTCAGAGCTACACCGATCAAACCTTTGAGCTTAAAAATTCTACTTTTTAAATAAGTGCATAAACAACAATATTCATGATCATTGCTCCCAAAAAGAGGCCAGCGTTTTGTCATAAACAATGTAGAATATATATATAATATAGAAAATATATATATTACATATATAATATAGAAAAAATCTCCCAATAGCTGAATTAATATCATTACCATTATTAGTCCATAAATTAAGTCATACAGTGTGTGTTCTATATCATGTGGTTTTCAGTTTCCTTCAGTTGCTAACAAAAATCCAAAGTACTTTATTTGGTGAAAGGGAGGAAGATAATACAAAGTAATTTTAAAGATTTTAATAAGTATTATATAAAAATAAAGGTATAAGAATAGCGAAAATGTATTGAACAGGGGAGCCTGGGTGTCTCAGCTGGTTGAGCGTTTGACTCTCCATTTGGTTCGGGTTGTGATCTGAGGGTCGTGGGATTGAGCCTCGCTTTGGGCTCCACACTCAGCTCGGAGTCAGCTTGGGATTCTCTCTCTCCCTCTCCCTCTGCTCCTCCCCTGACTCACTCTTGCTCTCTTTCTCTCAAGTAGATAAATACATCTTTGGGGGAAAAAAAGTACTGAACAAAAATAGCAATGAGTGGGAACTTGAATAAGATATATTAAGATGTAGTTTCAGTTAAAATAATTAAAACAATATGGTGTTGGCATCACATAGACAAGTTAATGGAATAGAGTAGAAAGTGAAAAAGAAACAGAAATAGACCTAATTATCTCAGAATTCAGTGCGTCATAAAGGTGGCATTTCGAGTTGGTAGGGTAAAGTTTCAGTAGGAAATGAACAGGAAGGGGCACAACTTCCCAGCATTCTAGAAAGACTTAAATTTGGATCCACACCTCACGTTCCATACTAAAGTAATTTTGAGATGCACCAGTATTAAAATGTAAAATAAGTAAACTACAGATAGATATTTCTGTAATTTGGGGAGAAAGACAGACTTGCTAAGCTTAGCAATAAAAGATAACAACATAAGGGAATAGATTGATTTTGACCAACATCCATCTGCCCATTTTCCCTAAACCCCAGGCCCCGGTAACCACTATTCTAGTCCCTACTTCTGTGACCTTGACCTTTTCAGACCCTGCATATATGAGAGATCAGGCAGTATTTTTCATTCTGTGTCTGGCTTATTTCACTTAGCATAACGTCCTCCAGGCTTATCCATGATTTTTGTAAACTAAAATTTAACATCTTCATGTCAAAAACCTCCCCACTTTGAATAAAAATAATCCCAAAGTGGTCCTATAACAGCAAGTGCATGTGTGAGTGTGCATCACATAGAAGAGGGCTGGAGAAACTTCCCTCAATTTTCAGTACCAGAACTCTTTCTTGGAGAGAATCTGACTCATGTGTTTTGGGAAGAGGGAATTCCTCCTTTCCCAGTTCCAGAGATGGGCATGTGACTCAGTCCTGGCCAATCAGAGCATTCCATCCATGAAGCTACAACGTTGTATTCATATATGAACATGTGAACCAAGTCGAGCCAAAGAAAATCATCCCTAATGTGTTTCAGTGTAATGGTTGGGCTTAGATAGTGCACTTTTCTCTAAGGTTCCTGACATTCCAGAACATGAACCTGGAATCATCCGTGGCCATCCTTGCTATCTGGAAATGAGGCAAGCTTAAAAGTGTTGCTCAGAGATAGATGATAGCTAGATAGATAGGCAGAAAAACAGATACTGCCTTCACGACCGTCTGAGTTCCTGAATTGGCTGTGCCTGAAGACACACACACAAACGAATACGGTTATATTTCCTTAGAGTGGGTTTCTGTCATTTACAATCATGACTTTAATGTTGGTCAGTTATATGTATTACAGGTATTTTCCCATGAGTTGCTTGTCTTTTGACTTTATGTATGAGGACCTTGGCTGGCCAGGAATTTTAAAAATTTTTACATATTGAATCTGTTCATCGTTTCTTTTCGGCTGCATTTCCTGATTTAAAAAGTCCTTCTCATTCTAATTATTTAAGACCCTATTTATCTATTTATATTTTCAATTTAAACCTTTGAGGAATCTAGAAATTGTTGTGTATGGTGTGAGGCAGATAATTCCCTCTTTAATAAAAGAATAATATCGGGCGTCTGGGTGGATAGGCAGTTAAGGGACAGCCTCTTGATTTGGACTTGGGTCATGATCTCAGGGTCCTGAGGTCAAGCCCTGGGTCAGGCTCTGCACTCAGGTGAGAGTCTGCATGAGATTCTCCTCCTCTGCCCCTTCGCCTGCTCATGCTCTCACTCTCTCTCTAAAATAAATACACATTTTTAAAAAGGCAATATATAAATGTACACATAGACAATATACATGTCGAGATGGTTATCTCTGGTTTTCATTGAGTGACATTATAAGGAGAACTTTGTTTTCTTCTTAGGTTTAGTTCTGTTTTCAAATGTTTGCGTAGTAAGTATGTTTTAGATCACTTAGATTCAAGGTTTACACCAACCATGAGGAAATAACGAGATTGGGCTCTAAATGTTTTTCGTATTTGTTCAAATGTCTAGGTATATTCATTTTTCTGCAGCATCTCTAAGATATTGTAATTTCCTTTGAAAACTGTTCTTTCTTCCCCATCTTAATTTATTTTATTTCCTATCTCAACATCACATCACCTTGTTATTCAAAGCAAAAATCAACATTTTTAAAATTAAAAAATAATTCTTCCTCCAACAAGCATTTCAGAGACAAAGGTGAGTATGAATAGGCTACATGCCAGTAGGATGTAATCTTATTTTTTATCTTGTTTTAGAAGTATGGATATATTGCATTTTAATACATGTATTTGTTATTATGCTATAAATATCTCCTCTGGATTACTTGCATGATATGGTAGTTACTTCTATATAAAGAATTTTATTCTTTTGCTGGTGAATATGGTATATACTTCTCAAACAACATTTTCTTATTTCTGTTTAAAATCAAACTGAGTCTCAAGGAGGAGAGTATAAGTACCCCAATTTATTGAAATCAACAGTCAGAAAAAAATTTGTCTGGTTTATTTTGTCTTTGATTTAAATAGTACTAAATGAAACACACACACAAACACACCTGACATAATGTGTATTTTCTGACATTCTCTAAAGATAAGATATATATACAAATTTCAATCATTTGATTTTATCAAGTTTTGTCATTAGCAATGACATTTTGGATTTAAGTGTATTTAAAAAAATATACCAAATATGAAACAATTCTGTGCTACTCTAAAATGTCTTTGTTTGTATATCAAAAGGCTTTTGCTTTTCTCTTACCAAACACTAATTCTTAAAGCCTCAAGTTCTACTGTATTTGTATGTTGCTCTGCAATGTAATTTTGTAAGTTTTACTTTATTTTTTTGCCAGGCTCTCACTGAAGGCCTATTGAATGCTGGCAGCGGTCTATGGAGTCAGGCTTTGTGAGATGAGGGTCAGGATAACTGAGAGATTGTACCAGTTTTCTAAGAGCCTGGGTAATGAATTCAAACCACTAAATATAGGACTGGAATCAATCTTTTATTCCCTAAAACAATCCACAATTGAGATGGTTGGCACTGGACGGATTTCCACAGAAATTCACAAAGAGAACTTGGGTACATGACTTTGAACTCATCTGAGACAGGAGCCCCACTGATGACTTTGAAATGCTATCTTATCACTTGGAATGGATGCATGAAAGTGCCAGTTGTAATGTAAATCCTTTTTTTGCAAAGTTTTCCATCATTTCTCATTCGACAGCAAATGTGCTCTAAAAGAAATTTTCTAGATTTCCACTGAAATCCAAAGACCTTTTACTTATCCTTCTTAAGTAATCATTCTGCAACCATTCCCCAACAGTCACAAACTTCCTAAGGAGCTGGGTTTACAAAGAGGAGCCACAGAAGAAAGAAGCTGTACTCTCAAAGAAATTAATTACTATAGACATAAACTCTAATGGCTTTTAAAGTGGGACTCCTAAATCATTGCCTGACTTATCAACTCAGAATTTAGAGTTATTTTTCCACTAGGAATACTACCTGAAATAAAACTGCGTTCCTTTACTTCTCTATAGCAGGAAGAAGAACACACAAGAAACAAAATAGGAAGGTGTGTTGTTCCAAAACCGTCATAGGATCGGATGACTCGAAAACCTTCACCGAACATGGGACCTTGACACCATTCACACCTAGATGTGCTGCAAGGGAAGACACTCAAGTCAATATTTAGTAAATCTCTATGGAGTAAAAGACTATTGTGCTTGATGTTATGTGAGACTCACAGTAGTGTAAAATAAGGCCTTTGTCATTATTGATCTTACCTTTTAATTGAGGAGCTAAGACATACATAAGTAAAAAGTAAATGATAAAAAATAAAGTGGATAAATGTATATAAAACAATCTTGGTTTTCTAAAACAAAAATGTATAGATGCATAGCAGAAAACACTCTTAAGGATAGATTCCAAGTAGAAAACAGTAATTATTCTTGGTCAGTGTGATCACAGGAAATTTTATGTGCCTTTATAATCTTTTTCTGTATTTTCCAAACTTTCCATAATAATTATGCATTATTTTATAGTTCAAAATAATGATACTATTTAAAAAAAATAAAGGGACTATATCATAGCTTTGTACAGGATGAGTGTCTATATATATTTTTAAAGTCTCCTGAAACAGTTAAAAAAAAAGACATCAACCCCATTAGTCCACTGACATTAGCACATGAGCAGACTATTCACAGAAGAAGAAACTTGAATGTCTAGAGAACATTGAGAAGGGGAGCTTCTCAATCTCAGTAATCAGAGAGGACAGGTACCATTTCATAATCATCAGATGGGCAAAATGGAGAAGTCTGACAGTAAGACATTTGGTGAGGATGGGAATCATCAGGAGCACTCAGACTTTCTTGGTGGTGTAGAAATTGGTGTAATTTGCCAATTTTAGATTTAAAAAATAAAGCTTAATATAAAAATGTATACATGTTAAAGTCTATGTATAAAATCTCAAAAGTGATTTAACGAAATGTCTTGGACAACTTTTTATTGCAATACATTTTGTTTTGCTTCATAGTAATAGCATCATAATATTCCATAATGTCGATACACCATAATTTATTTTACCACTTTTTAATTGACGCACACTGACGCTGCAGTTATCATCCCTAGTCCTAACTTTGTGTTCACATGTAACTATTTCTATGAGATGGATTCTGGCGATTTACATTTCTATTTCAAGGGGTAAGTAGGATACTGTCCAGTTGCCTTCCACAAAGCTTTTGCCAATTTACAGCACTACTACTGGTATATAGTGATCCAGATTTGGGGCATCCAACGACAAAGTTTAAGGTCAATCATTTTCTTTTTTTTTTTTTTTTTTTAATTTTTTTGTTCACTTATTTGACAGACAGAGACCACAAGTAGGCAGAGACAGGTGGGGGGGGGGAAGCAGGCTCCCTGCTGAGCAGAGAGCCCAATGTGGGGCTCCATCCCAGGACCCTGAGATTGTGACCTGAGCTGAAGGCAGCAGCTTAACCAACTGAGCCACCCAGGCACCCCTAAGGTCAATCTTTTTAATCTTAATAAAACAAGTAAAATATTTGTTGTTGCCATTGATGTTGCAGTTCCTTGATTACTAGTAAGATTTAACATGCTTCAGGTCCTGGGCCCTTTTCTATTGGTAGATTATTAATCACATTTTCAATTTCTTTGATGATTACTATCTGTTTAGGCTTCCTGCCTTTTGTGGAGTCAATACTGGTAATTTATACACTGCTGGAAAATTTACTTAGGCAGACAACAAAGATTTGTTAAATCAATAATATAAGGACTGGTGAGTGTTAAAAATAGTTTCATACCATCAGAAGAAAATACAAGAGAAGCTGAGTGGATTCCTAGTGCACGGGCTTTAGAAACCCTGGTCCTGAAATTATGCAATGATTCTCGCACTGGCCATTAATCCCTGAGGAGGAGAAAATGCTCTAGATAAGGTTGCTCTCTTCCTGGTCTCTTACAAAGTGTTTCCCTGCATAGTCTGCCGGGGACCAAAGAACCCTTTTTTGGAAGAAACCACTTCTGTGTCCTTAGTAATTCACAGGAAAGATTAAAATCACACCGTATAGATGTGGCCGGCCACGCCTCAGCAATTTGTAACTCACACTGGAATTAATTCTCAATTAAACTTGAGAATATTAGGAAACGGGCTGAATTCAGACTCCATTATTACTCTGAAGAGACAGAAGGAGAAATTTAAAGAATTCTATGTATGTTCGAGGCTGCAATATGGATGTGTTAATAGTAGAACTGTCATCTGGCCTCTAAGGAACAACATTTTAAATGCTTAAAGGTGTATTTTCATTAAAAGGGTGTCAGAATCTGCTCACCATTTGAGTAGCTTTTGAATTTTCGCTGGGATCACATTATAATATTCACGTAGATTATTTTTTAAAAAGAAAAAAGAAGCAATTTGAGTAAGGGATGGTGGGCTATTCAAAGAATTCTCCTTCCAAAACATAGGATGAGTGAAAGTATTCTCAAAGAGGATTTTTTTCAGGTTAAGCTTCAAAATTGCAGATGGAAAAGTCGTCAGTTCATTCCCATCAACATTCAGTTTTTCAAGTGATCTGCAAATAAAGGAAACCAAATTTAAAAGGTATTTATGCAATTTATAATACCAAAGTAAAATTTTTTGTCCCTGTGTTCCTGCAAATTGGCATCAAAGGTAGTAGCAATAACGTCCAAGTGCTTAAGTATTTCCTTAGAACCGGAGAATTACAAAACAAATGACACGGTTTGTTGTTATGCCGATCAGTGCATTTGTGTGAATAGCAGAGTTAAAGCATGTACTTTGGGTCTCTGCAACATACCATTACGGAAAAAGAAAAATTCTAGTATAGTATAATGGTAGAATATATTTTCATAGACAAACTGAACACCAGTACACATTTTTTCCTTCAAGTCTAATCAAAACAGTGGAATTACCACTAGCAAAAAATATCATGTGTTATGTTGCAGTTTTGATTTTTCATCACCTGAATCCCCTTGGTTTTTACTGTGCCATTTGTTTCTGATAACAGCAATTCCTTTGTTCGAAGAGAACAAACATTACTGATTTTCTCATTTTATACTACCTGCCTTGATGGTGTTTTTTTTGTGTTGTTTTTGTTTTGTGTGTGGGTGTGTGTGTTTTTTTTTTTTTTCTTTTCTTTTTTTCAGTTCCTCATCTTTCTACTTAGTGCTGGAGACAGGCAGAAAAGTATCTGTTTATGAGGGACACATAAAAACAAATCAAAGGCTAGTCCAACTTGCTGGGAATGAAAAAGGATGACATGCGGACTGTAGGTCAAAATTTGCTGGGAACTCTAGGTTCTCACGTGCAGTGTAGTTTCCTCCTCACACAATTTAAATTCTTTGGTGGGATTTGAAATAATGGGGCTAGGAACATGGCCCCTCACCCGTCTTCATCCCACAGCCACAGTCTGACTACTGCACTTGTCACAGTCTGGAAAAGGGAAGCAAAACCCCAGGCTTTACTGTGGTCCCAAAGGAGAGAGCTGGCTGGCATGGTCACTCTGCTCCCTCTAGGGAGCCTTAGGGCCAGCAGCAGAGAGCCCAAAGGACAGCCAGAATAAGTGTGGTGGACTCTAGGGAGATGTCAGTGGAGGTCCCCAAATACCCTTGGCAGAGGCTGCCCCTTCCTGAGTTGCTTTATCTCAGAGGCTTCAGCAGTCTGGGCTCATCCTTCCTCTGGATGAGGTCTGAGGAGTTTGCTAGGCTCAGCAGTCTCTAAAGCTGGAAGAGCTCCACCGGAGACAGCCTTAGCAGCTGAGCATCTGAGCATCGCAGGGAGCAGAGAAACTTCCTCCCGTTAGGTCGCTGACGCTCTCTGAATGGTGCTCTTTTGACTGCCTTTGGTCCTGAGCAGACGGCAGAGCAGCCAAAAGAGAAAAACTGACAAACACACAGAACGGTGCTCTTGAGGCAATCGTGCTCTGGGAGGCAGAGAAATTGGGGTGGAAGCAGGAGAAACACTTAATAAAATTCACACACACACACACACACACCCAAGGCAAATAGGAAAAGAAAAAAGTAAATAAACAGTAAATGCAAAGTAAAATGGAAGAAAAAAACTGAATATATCAGCCATAACAAAGGTGAAGAGGTTGAATTCCCCTATTAAAATATAAAGATTGTCACATGGGAAATTAAATAATTGGTACAAATATTAGAAAAGCAGAGATAAAATCATCTCACTTTACTGTAGATAAGACTATGCTCCTGGAAAACCAAATGAAATCTAGTCAAACTGAGCCAGAATGAAGATAATTTGGGTTATATAGCTTAATTTTAAATTCATGTAAGGAAGGACATAGCTTTTCTCTATTCTGTAGGGGCAATAGTTGGCTAGAAATGAAAATTATAGAAAATGTTACATTCATAATAACAACACAATTATAGAATACTTAGAGACGGTCAGTAATAAAGGACTTAATGTGAAGGGAGTCATAAATCTTTTAAAAGATTTTATTTATTTATTTTAGAGAGAGTGGGGGGCGGGGGTGGAAGGGGCAGAGAAGGAGGGAGAGGGAGAGGGAAAGAATCTCAAGCAGACTCTGTGCAGAGCCTGATTTGGGTCTGGATGTGGGGCTCGATCTCACAACCCTGAAATCATGACTTGAGCTGAAAACAAGAGTCAACCTCTAGGCACCCCAAGTCATAAATTCCTATGAAGGACATAAAACAAGATCTGAACAAATGAAAAAATATGCTCTGTTTTAGGATGAAAATATTTATTAACATCAGAAATGTAAATTCTTCGAAACCTATATGTAAACTCAAGACAATTCCAATTGAAGTCTCAATTTTGTGTTTATATTTGGGGGGGTAGAGGGGCTTGGAAGTATATTAAATGCTCTTAAAACTCACGATCTAAAGAGAATAGTTAAAAGGCTATTATTGAAAAACAATCTCCCTCCTAATTATTAAAAATTATTCTAAAGTCATAATCAAAAGAGTATAATCAAAGGAGTACTGATCTGTAAGGACAGAGATGAACTTCAGATGTGAGATTTAAAAAATCAATGTGAGAAAGAATCAGGGCTTCGTATTAGGCTTACACTGTTATATGTATTTCCTTATCCCGAAGAAATAAAACTGATAAGAACTATAGGTGTACATCCAGAAAAATGGACAAAATGAAGCATGTCATTCTATTAAGAAGCCATCAGTACAACTTTTAAATAATTACTGAAAATGTTATGTCTTAAAATGCCAGTCATTCAAGTTACGTTTTCATAAATGTGATGTTTCATATATTACGTTTTGTGGCTATTAAATGTATGAATGAACTTAGTTTTCTCCAACACAGTCGTCACCAAATATGTCCTGACAGGGCATATGGCTTTGTGTACTTACAACTTTCAGAATACCTGAGTTTCTGGATTTCATTAGGAATGGAAGCAATACCATTGTAGGAAATATCAAGTTCCTCAAGATGGGACAAAAGAAATAACCTTAGACAGAAAGAGAAAATGGAATTAAAAATGATTACCTGCTTGTCATTACTAGGCATGAATAAAGAATTAAATACTCGAGCAAAGAGGTAGAAATACGGAGAAACTACATTTTCCTACAATCTTGAAATTTATGGACTTCTTTTCATTATAGGTGGCTTAATGACAATCGAAGTTCCTAAAATGATTCTTCTACCCTTTAAGACAGCTTTGAAATGTTTGGAGCAGATAAAGCCCCATACAGAAAAAGCCTGAGAAATTTCTAAAACATTTAGAGAGAGTCTTTTCTTGGTTGCTGTATTTGTTTCCTAGGGCTGATGTAACCAATGACCACAAGCCAGGTGGCTTAGAGCCACAGACACTTATTCCCTCACAGTTCTGGAGGCCGGAAGTCCAAAATCAAGGTGTTAGTGGTGTTAGTGGAGTCGGTTCTTTCTGGAGTCTGTCAGGGCCCTCCAGTGAGGCTCTGGGATAAAAAAGACAAGAAACAGGAAAAAAAGGGGGGGAAAAACCCAAAAACAAAAAAAACAAGGCAAGGAGAGAGACACATTCTGGTGATCTCATTACCTCTTAAATGAACAACAAAATCCCGTGTATTTCATGAACAAATGCTATCCTAAAGCTTTGGGAAAAAGAAGAAACCTTTTGGATTTTTTAAGTGATCTATTGTCTTTATTTTAGAAGAAAACTAAATGGACCTTTTCGTGGTCACAAAACTTCAAACATTTCATCTGAGAGCATTGAGTATACCTTTCCATAGTATAATCAAGGGCATAACTGTAACTGTAGAGGGCCTATCTGTAAGGGGCATAGCTAAGATGAGGACCCAGTTCTTTGTGCCTCCAGAACCTGGGCTTTGGTGTCTGCATTTGCATAGCTTATGCCCCAAGCAGCTCAGGGCAAAAATAGTAGCAACAAAAACTTGGGCCTCAGTTGACTTTGTGCTGTTGATCTCCCCTTGATATGCATACATAACCCATGTTATTTGATTAAAAAAATATATACTGCTTCGGAGGGGCCTGGGTGACTCAGCTGGTTGAGTGTCTGCCTCTGGCTCAGGGCGTGATCCTAGCGTTCTGGGATCGAGCCCTGTCTCAGGCTCCCTGCTCTACAGGGAACCTGCTTCTCCCCTCCTGCTCCCCCTGCCTGAGCTCTCTCTTTCTGTCAAGTAAATAAATAAAATCTTGAAAAAAATATATATACTGCTTTATTTTAGGAACTCTAATATTTTTTAGAAATAGCTCCTTAAAACTTTTTGAGCATAACCAATAGTTAACCAATAGTTCAAACTAATTTGCTTAATCTCTAAATAGTGAGCAATGTTGACCCTGTAGCTATGAACAAGTTGTAGTTGCTTTAGGAATTTTTACATTTTGTTTAAATGACATAGAGTTATTAAAGGTCATAATTACAATTTTACAGATTATTAAATATAAATTTTATTTAGATGTACATATTCATATGCATATATACATATATATGGGTCTCTATATGCATACATATATGTAGCTGTGTGTGTATATGTGTATATATACACAGGGTTATGTGTGGTGTATATTTACAAATATATATATATATATACATATATACATATACACACACACACACAGAGAAAAATATAGATACATGTGTACACACAGATTAGTAGACACACATGTATTACTTAGCTCTGTTCCCAGGGTGTCTAGAAACAATGTTATCCCAGTAGCACTGGGACTTCTAGCACCCAGATCTCGGTTTTAAATACCATCTTCCAATAAAAAGGAAGCAGAGTTTGCTTAGAGAAACAGCTGCTTCTAGAATCAAGGCAGGTAAAATACAATTTATATTACTGTTGAAAAAATAGATGATTTAAATAGAAATAAAATACATACAATGCAATATTCTTACTTTTAATGTTGATTTGTTATACATGTATTATGTGTAATGTGAAATGCATTTATATACAGGAATGGTATAAGTTTTACATACTTTTTTATTCTTTTAAATGACTGAATAGTTTTACAGTTTATTAATGCAGAATTTGTTGGATTGATAAATATAAACAATGTCGGGTGAACAACTTTATAAATGAATTTTGATGCATTTCCTTAATTTTGGTGAGAATCTTCTTTACAAAATGTTCAACTGTATAAGAGTCCTTGTCCCTTTGCCCTTAATCCACATCCAATTTGTTTAACTGAAAGATGTATGTCGTTTTGCATTTGGCTAAAGTTTTGGTTTAAGAATTAAATAATCACCAGTCCATAAGTCTGGAAAAATTCCATCTCTTTTATACCCAAATACCAACATTCTTATTAAAGGATGATACATATCATATTGGCTAATTTCTTGATTTATAGATTAGGAAATTGAGACCAAGAAGATTAAGTGATTCCCCAGCTAAAACAGATCATTATCCATTTTGAAGTTAAAAGTCTAGATTTCCTAATTCCATATGCAGTGTCCTTTCCAAATGCACAAAGGCTATCAAGAGATCAGTGCAAGTTTCTCACTCGAGCCTTTTTCTGTAATTGGTGTTCATTTAATCCATACTCAAATAATGGATCTCTAGATGAGCATTCACTAGCCCCTCACTAGCTGCCATCTGTGTAGCTGCTAGGATTGCTTTTAACACAATGATAAGAAGCAAGTCAGCTAACTGGAAGAGAATTGGAATCATTCAGTTGCTAGCTGCTTTCAAAAGGGAAATTGATCTCTTTCTAAATTATAAGCTCTTTATTTTCTGTGCTCATACTCTCAAGCCATTGACCTTACCCAGGTGGAAGAGTAGTAATCAAATTAAAGGCAATGCTGAAAACTCTAAGGAGCTTAAGTTGCTGAATTTCAGAAGAGATTTCTTTGATAGGATTATTTCTTAGTAATAGTATTTGTAAATTTTTAAGACAAAGTATCTGAAGAACAGAAAAGAGAAACAAACATGAGTAGAATGATCAAGTATCACAGATCTCGACTTGGTACATTTTATAAACCCTTTGAACTAATGTAGTAGAATCAACGAATGAACATTGATTGGCTGTATCACCTGTCTCTTTTTTTGCTCTTTTCCAGGGTATCATAAATGTCTATTTTTTATTATAATGATTTTTAATAAGAAATTAGTGCAATATACACAATGATAAAAATGGACTCACTTCTGTGGGGAAGTAACTGATGTCATTGAAGGATAAGTTAAGATATACCAATTGGGAGGCCAAAATCGTTAAGTCTGGACAGTTTGTGATAAAAAAGCCCTAAAAGAAAGTGACAAGTGATAAGAGGTTAATTAACAATGCACAAAATATTTTATACCAAAGAAAAATAAATGAGCACATAACTGAGTGACAGTGCTTGACACAGTACACTAACAAGGCTATACTCATCTTCCATTCATTTGTTAGTCTGCCATAATAATAATTCCCTAAATATGGAAAGGATAGAAACCAAATAGAAACTCTGCTAAGTATTCATGTTTATAATAAGTTTAGTGTTAGATGTGTGACAGGAATTATTTCGATTAACGGCAAACAAACATTTATAGAGTATCCATTGTGTGCTGAAATGTAAGTACATTTTATATTTAATTATCTCTTTTATCTTATTTTTTCTTGTTTCTACCTCTTTTTCTGTTATCATTCTATTAATCTAATGTCTATCTAAAACTTCTTGCTTAAATATGCCAATTCTGATTGAGGAAAACTATGTGCTGCTGTGAACTAAATGTTTGCGCTACCCACAAACCTTTATGTTAAAGTCCCAAACCCCAATGTGATGGCATTTAGAGGTGAGGCCTTTGTGAGGTAATTAGGGTTAGATGGGGTCTTAAGGGTGGAGCCCTTATAATGGGATTAGTGCCCATATAAGAAGAAGAAGGGGCCAGAGCTCTCTTTTCCACCAGGTAAGGATGTAGGAAGAAAGTAGGTGTGAGCAAGAGATCTCTAACCAGGAGACAAATCAGCTGACACCCCTCAATGTTGGACTCCAGGGCTACCAGAACTGTGAGAAATTAATGATATTTTGTCATAGCAGTCAGAACTGATTAAGACATGTTTGGTGTCCTTAGTATCTTTAACATTCCAGGATAATTGAAACACTTGTTTCTTAAGGGTCATAGGATCAGTAGTGGTCATCTGACCAAGGGACACCATTGTCGGATGATCAGACCTCAGCTTGTAGAAAAGGGGGACATCATTGCAGGTGCGTTAGACTATGCCACATATCATATGAGAATGAAAGGCTCATGGCTAAAGAACCTTAAAGTTGAGTACTGGTTTCAAGACTGACCTTTTACCGAAGGATTACTATTTGTAAATGTGTATATAGACAAAAGTAGGTGGTCTTTTTTTCCTGTCATAAACACTTTTCTCTGCAGAACTGGTGCTGTATTTACAGAGCAGATATGTGTTTATCATAGTCTCTAATCATTTCACTTAGTGTGCTCAGACAACTAGATGCCTTTACATTTCCTTCTGCCTGGAAATTTCTTCCCTCATGTCATCCCATGAACTATATAGTCTCATCTCATCAGTGGCCAGCACAGAGTCAGCTGTCTACTCATATGTCATCTGGCCAGAGAGGCCTTCCTAACCAACCTATGACAGAGAGCAACCTCTCAAACCAGTGCTCCAGTGATGATTCCCTGTCCCTGTCACTTGCCTTATTTTTCTTCATAGTTCTTATAATCATAGGACAGACTATGTACAAATATATGTCTGATCTCACCCCACTAAACTTTAATAAGCTCTATGAAACAGGCATTCTCTTCTGTTTTGCACACTGACATATAGTTAAAATACATAGTTTACCACTGGCACATGGGGAGTTCTTGATAAATATTGGCTGAATGAGTGAATATCCGGAACCTTCATGTTGCCTCATGTAATCCCCAGGACCATCACTAGGAGGCTGGTCCACCACAGGTACCCTGGATCTCTCTTTTACCATCCCATCATAAAACCCGTTTGCTGTGGTTATCATGCAAAGGCTGTGTGGAACTAAGCCTTAGAGGAGTGTGGTCCAAGATGGCGGAGGAGTATGAGACCTCGATTTCATCTGGTGCCAGGAGTTCAGCTAGATAGCTATCAAACCACTCTGAACACCTATGAACTCAACAGGAGATCAAAGAAAAGAATAGCAACAACCTTAGGAACAGAAAAGCGACCACTTTCTGCAAGGTAGGACACGTGGAGAAGTGAATGGAGGCGATATATGGGAAGAGAGACTGCGGGGGGAGGGGCCGGCTCTAGGCAAGCCGTGGAGCAATGGAGCATAAAATCAGAACTTTTAGAAGTCTGCTCCACTGAGGGACGTTGCTCCAGAGGCTAAGCGGGGAGTGGAGCCATCATGGGGACAGTGTGGTCTCAGGACCCTCGGGGTTGTAGAAAGACCAGGGCCATCTGAGGGTGGCAGAGCTCCCAGATATGGGGTGGAGAAGCTGGCCACAGAGACAGAGCCGAGGAGTGGGCTTTCAGCTCAGGGTTACCTTAAACCATGATCCGAGGCACAGTTGGGCCACTGCTTTTAAAGGAGGGGTTCAACAAGTGAAAGAACTGGGGAAACTCCCTTTCTTAACCCAGAAAGAGTGGCTTTGGAGCGCACTGCAGGAATCGGCTAGGTTTGGAGCCTCCAAATGGGGCCGTGCGCCTGAGATGGAAACACTCGGTTGCAAGCCAGGTGAGCACGGAGCGTGGCTGGAGACCAGGGGATGGGAGTGACTGACTGCTTTTCTCCGAGGGTGTACTGAGGAGTGGGGCCCCAAGCTCTTGGCTCCTCCTGGCCGGAGACTAGGAGGCTGCCATTTTCATTCCCGTCCTCCAAAGCTCTATGGAAAGTGTTCAGGGAACAAAAGCTCCCAAGACCAAAATCTTTGAGCAGATTGCTTAGCCTGGCCTCTGGCAAGGGCATTGCAATTCTGCCTTGGGCAAAGACATTTGAGAATCACTGCAACAGGCCCCTTCCCCAGCGTTCAGCAAGAACATCCAACCAAGATCAAGTTTACTGATCAATGAACTTGATCAGTGCTAGGGGAATACAGCACATAGAATTCATGGCTTTTTTCCCATGATGCTTTAGTCTTTCAACTTTAATTTAAAATTTTTCCTTCTTTTTCTTTTTCTTTTTCTTTTTTTGAATTTTTCTTCTTTCCTTTTTCAACCAACTTCTTATCTCATCAATTCTTTTTTAGAATCTCTTTTAATTTTCATCTTTACTATCTTTACTATTCTATCCCTTCATTGTATTTAACTTTATTTATTTATTTAACCTTATTGTATTTAACCTTATTTTTTGTATATATAGAAGTTTTTCTTTCTTTAAAATTTTGGGTTGCTGTTTCTTCTAACAGACCAAAATACACCCCAAATCTAGTGTATGGCTCTGTTCTATTCACCAGCCTGATCATATTTTTTTTTCTTTTCCCCCCAGTTTTGGGTCTCCTTTGATTGTTTAGTGTATATTTCTATGGGGTCATTGTTACCCTTTTAGCATTTTGTTCTCTCATTCATCTATTCTTCTCTGGACAAAATGGGAAAATGCACCTCAAGAAAAAGAGCAAGAGGCAGTACCAATTGCCAGGGGCCTAGTCAATATGGACACTAGTAAGATGTTGGATCTAGAGTTCAGAATGACAATTTTAAAGATATGCGCTGGTCTTGAAAAAAGCATAGAATACACTAGAGAATTCCTTTCTGGAGAAGTAAAATCTAACCAAGTCGAAATCAGAAAGGCTATTAATGAGGGGCAATCAAAAAGGAGGCTCTAACTGCTAGGATAAATGAGGCAGAAGAGAGAATTACTGATATAGAAGACTAAATGATGGAGAATAAAGAAGTTGAGCAAAGATAAATAGCTACTGGATGACGAGGGGAGAATTCGAGAGATAAGTGAGACCATAAGATGAAACAACATTAGAATAATTACGATCCTGGAAGAAGAAGAAAGAGAAAGAGGGGCAGAAGGTATATTGGAGCAAATTATAGTGTAGAACTTCCACAATGTGGGGGAAGAAACAGGAATCAAAATCTAGGAGGCACAGAGAACCCCCCTCAAAATCAGTAAAAATAGGTCCATGCCCCGTCATCTAATAGTAAATCAAGTCTTAGAGACAAAGAGAAAATCCTGAAAGCAGCTCAGCACAAGAGGTCTGTAGCCTACAAAGGTAGAAACGTTAGGTTGGCAGCAGACCTATTCACAGAGACCTGGCAGGCCAGAAAGGACTGGCATGATATATTCAGAGCACCAAATGAGAAAAGTAAGCAGCCAAGAATATTATATTCAGCTAGGCTGTCACTGAAAATAAGAGGGGATAAAAAGCTTCTAGGACAGACAAAAACTAAAAGAATTTCCAAACACCAAACCAGCCTTACAGGAAATATTGAAGGGGTCCTCTAAGCAAAGGGAGAGCCTAAAAGTAACAGACCAGAAAGGAACAGAGACAATATACAGAAACAGTCACCTTACAGGTAATACAATGGCACTAAAGTCATATCTTTCAATAGTTACCCTGAATGTAAATGGGGTAAATGCCCCAATCAAAAGACATAGGTTATCAGAATGGATAAAAAAGCAAGACCCATTGATATGCTGTCTGCAAAAAAACTCATTTTAGACCCTGGGGTGCCTGGGTGGCTCAGTGGGTTAAAGTCTCTGCCTTCAGCTCAGGTCATGGTCTCAGGGTCCTGGGATCGAGCCCCGCATTGGGCTCTCTGCTCAGCAGGGAGCCTGCTTCTCTCTCTCTCTCAGTCTGCCTCTCTGCCTACTTGTGATCTCTCTCTCCATCAAATAAATAAATAAAAATCTTTAAAAAACTCATTTTAGACCCAAAGAAACCACCAGATTTAAAGTGAGAGGGTGGAAAACCACTTACCATGCTAAGGGACATCAAAAGAAAGCTAGGGTGACAACCTTTATATCAAATTAGGTTTTAAACCAAAGATTATAAAAAGAGATGAGGAAGGACACTATATCATACTTAAAGAGTCTATCCAACAAGAAGATCTAACAATTTAAAATATCTATGCCCCTAACATGGGAGCAGCCAAGTATACAAGTCAATTAATTAAAAAAAAAAAATCAAAGAAACACATGAACAATACAATAGTAGTAGGGAACTTTAACATCTCCTTCACTGAAATGGACAGATCATCCAAGCAAAAGATCAACACACTGGACTCACTGGACCAGATGGACATCACAGATATATTCAGAACATTCCATCCCAAAACAACAGAATACACATTCTTCTCTAGTGTATATG